CGTTTCTGTTGTGATTGGTGTACTACAGTTTCTGTATAAGACAACATAACATTATTCCTCTGTTTCTTTATTCTTGTGCTTTGGGATCAATACTTGCATTTCAACAAAACTGTTTCCTATTTGTGGCATGAGCTAACCAAATTCATGTTTGCTGACACAAAATTAAAAAAAAATGAAAACATGAAGGCTGAATTTATTAACAGTGGCATCCGGTAAGTGTCAAAAAACTATCACTGAAATGTAGCTCAGGTCACACGGATTAAATTCATGAATATAATTCATATTGGCCAAACTTAGTATTCGTTATTGGCGCTGGCCAATGCTATTGGTCAATTAAAACAGCAATGATAATAAGCAGCCAATGGGCAGTTTGTCAATCTCTTTCACAAGACTTTTCCAGCCAATGGCCATCTTTGTGGACTGTGTTGCGTGGCCACGAACCGCAAGCAGAGGAGGGCCGGGCATTTATCATCTACTGCTGTGTGGTAGCTATCCAGCATGCTACGCTACATATCCTTTGCTCTAGCTTGACTGTAATATGTTGCTGCTATTGGCCCAGGCAAGCCTTGAGGAAATCTTAGAAATCTAAAGATTTTGTGCAACTGCAAGCAGAGCAAATTTCTGTCTTGATCTCTGTTGGTTGAATGACCATCATTGGCTTCTCAGTCTAGCTACCTTCTGTATTCAGGTATATATATTCAGTTCAGTTATGTGCACTTCCGGTACTCCTTAGTTGGTGAATAATCTTGTACTGTATCATCTATTGCAGGTGTAGCAGCATGGTTTTCTCCTGGTATTGGCTATAATCTTGTATTAGTATCTATTTTGATTATAGCTTGCACTCAGCCTTACGAGATCTTGAAACTATCGATAGGCTGGAAGACTGGTTCTAAGGTAAGACTTGCTGCCGTACCTCAGAGAGCTTCGGACCTTAGTTTCATAACTACAGTGGAATGAATTGTGATGATTTATAGGCTAGCATGTCGGAAAACGATTAGAGTTAAGATGGATTTGACAACCACAAATAATTAGCTGGTTGATCAATCTGTATCTAACTGTATGTTGTAACTCAATGAAAGAATTTCAGTAGTAGTTTGGTGTGGAGTAGTTTGACAACCACAAATAATTACTAGTATGTTGTAACTCATGGCCCTTTAACTGACCAAAACAAACCAGCAAACCATGTAAATTGGCAACTGGAAAAACTGAAAGGGAAGAATGCCAAATGATTAAAAATTTATACCTCAATACAAGTTTCTATGCAAACTGCTGCACATATCCTCAGTCACATTCACACCTGGCTCTTGTATAACACAAAACATTATCCCTCTGTTTTTAATTGTTATATTTTATAAGACTTATATTCAATTATTTTTGGGATCCATACTTGCGTTTCAACAGAACTGTCTTATTTGTGGCATGAGCTAACTCGATTCACGTTTGCTCACGCAAAAGAAAAAAGAAAAACATGAACTTATAATTCTACGGCGGCGTGCGTAAATGTCAATAAACTATCACCAAAATGTAGTTTAGGTCACACAAATTAAATTCATGAATATACTTTATATGGGCCAAACTTAGTCTATTCATAAATGGCCCTGGTCAATGCTATTGGTCAATTAAAAGAGCAATGACAACAAGCAGCCAATGGGAGGCTTGCCAGTCTCTCTTGACTGGTTTGTTCCCTTCTTCTTCTGCAACTGCAAGCAGATGAAGTTTCTGTCTTGATCGCCGTTGATTGAAATGACTGTCAGTAGCTTCTCAGTTTAGCTACCCTCTGTATCCAGGCACATGTACATTCGGTTTAGTTACCTGCACTTCTGGCACTCCTTTTTTTGTTCACTAGTTGGTCAATAATCTTGCATCACCCATTGCAGGTGCAGCAGCATGGTTTCCCCCTGGTAATTGACTGATAATTTCTGTTATCTATTGCGATTCTTAGCTTGCACTCAGCCTTGCGAGATCTTTAAAACTATAGATGGGCTAGAAGACTGCAGGTTTGTAAGGTAAAAACTTGGTACCGTGGAATAAATTATGATGATTGATAGACTAGCATGTACGGAACCAATTAGAGTTAAGATGAATTAGACAAACAAATATAAATATCTGGATGATTTATCCATATCACTCTATGTTGTAACTAAATGCAACATTTTCAGTAGTAGTTCGGTGTGGAGGCTTCTGTGCAGATTGGCAACCGGAAAAACAATTAAAGAACAGAATGCCAGATGATTAAGAATTGAGACCTTAATACTTGGCGCTACCGCTCAAGCTGTATTTGCATAGTTATATTATTATTATTGAAAATGTAAATGGCAGCCCACTACTGATAAATTTCGTGAGCCTTGTCCTACTTTGAAAGCATGTTATCATACCTTGTGCATCCATTTTCAGCTTTCGGTTTCAGCCAGACTCAAGGAATATCCTAGTGTTTTTGGTGGACCTCTGGCGCTGAGTTTGTCTGATCCATGGCAGCCGTACTTGAAACTTTGCTTAAATCAAGTGTCAATAAGTTGCAAGATGTCATTACAGATGAGGCCATACTAATCCTAGGGGTGGAAGAAGAGCTCACAAAACTACTGCGACGAGTGGAACTAATTCAGTGTTGTATATACGATGCTGAGAAAAGGAGGACAAAAGAGCAAGCAGTAAACAATTGGCTTGGTCAACTGAGAGATGTTATATATGATGTTGATGAAATCTTGGATGTGGCTAGATGTAAAGGAAGCGAGCTACTTGCTGACCACCCTTCACCATCATCAGACAAATCAGTTGCATGTAAAGGCCTTTCAGTTTCCTCCTGTTTTTGCAACATAGTGCCACGCCGTGATGTTGCTGTTCGGATTAGAAGCCTGAACAAAAAGATTGAGAGCATTGCAAATGACAAGATATTTTCAACTTTCAATAATAGTACACAGCCTATTGGAAATGCTCAACCATCAAAACTTATAAGAAGTTCCAACCTTGTTGAGCCCAACCTTGTGGGGAAGGAGATTGTACATTCTACCAGGAAGTTAGTAGACTTAGTTCTTGCACACAAGGAATACAAGTCTTACAAGCTCGGTATTGTTGGAACCGGAGGAGTTGGTAAGACAACACTAGCTCAAAAAATATACAACAATGAGAAAGTAAAAGGAAGCTTCAAGATGCAGGCATGGATTTGTGTTTCACAAGACTACAATCAAATAACTCTTCTTAAAGAGGTTCTTCGGAATATTGGTGTGCATCATGAGCAAGGTGAAACCATAACAGAGCTGCAGAGGAAGCTTGCAGAAACAATTGAAGGGAAGAGTTTCTTCCTGGTTCTAGATGATGTGTGGCACTCCGATGTATGGACTGATTTATTAAGACCTGCATTACATGAAACAACTGCCGGAGTAATATTGGTAACCACACGAGATGATCAAATTACAAAGAGAATAGGTGTATACCATACTCACCAAGTTGATCTTATGTCAGTAGAGGTGGGATGGGAGCTACTTTGGAAGAGCATGAACATTGATGAAGAGAAAGAAGTGCAGAATTTAAGAAACATAGGGATTGAGATTGTTCATAAATGCGGCCTCCTCCCTCTTGCAATCAAGGTTACTGCTAGTGCTTTGGCAAGCAGAGATCTAAGAGAGAATGAGTGGAAAAGGTATTTGGCCAAGTATGATTGTTCCGGGAGCATGCTCTCAGATGAAATAGAAGAAGCTCTGTATTTAAGCTACGATGAGTTACCGCATCGTTTGAAGCAATGTTTCCTTTCTTGTGCTTTGTATGCTGAAGATTCTATCATTCTTCGTGAAGAAGTTACCTGGTTATGGATTGCTGAAGGCTTCATCGAGGAGCAGCAAGACCAGCTACTAGAAGACATAGCAGAAGAGTACTACTACGAGCTAATCCATCGGAATCTCCTCCAACCAGATAGGATAAGTTTTGACCAGGCTAAATGCAGAATGCATGACCTCTTAAGACAGCTTGCTTTAAATATATCAAGAGATGTAGAATCATTAAGGAGTGAAAATATGTCAAAACTGCGACGGGTTACTGCTATCACGGCTAAGAAGGATATATTAGTGTTGCCTAGCAAGGATAAGGTGGAAGTTAAGGTGAGGACTTTCCTAACTGTCTGTGGTCCACAGAGAATTGAGAATACATTGTTCAAGAGATTTCTGCTTCTTCGTGTTTTGGTGCTGAATTACACACTTGTACAAAGCATTCCAGGCTATATAGGAAAATTGATACATCTACGTCTACTTAATCTGGATTATACCGGCATATCTTGTCTTCCGGAATCCATTGGCTCCCTAAAGAACCTTCAAGTACTGAGCTTGAGATGGTGTCATAATCTGCACAATCTTCCTTCCGCAGTGACCCGGTTGAGCAGTTTAAGATGTCTTGACCTTTTTGGCACAGAATTAAATCAGGTTCCAAAAGGCATGGGGAAATTGAAGCTCCTCACTTATTTAGGAGATTATCCTGTTGGTGATGGGAGTGCTAATGCTGTTATACAAGATGGATGGAATTTGGAAGAGTTGTCTTCTTTGTCGCAGATGAGGTATCTTTATCTTACTAAATTGGAAAGAGCAGCTCACTGCAGTACAAATACAGTGCTTACGGACAAAAGGCACCTTCGAAAACTAACACTAGAGTGGACTGAACGTGGAGAGGGGTCATATTCAAAAGAAGATGTTAGTAATACTGAGAAGGTCTTTGAGCAGCTAATACCTCCGCACAACCTGGAAAACCTATGTATTGTCAGATTCTTTGGTCAGCGGTATGCCAGCTGGTTTCGTACCACTTGTTTGTCTTCCTTAATACACTTGAATCTCCTGGGTGTACGATCATGTGTGCATCTTCCACCGACCTGGCAGCTACCAAACTTGAAATATCTGAGAATTGAAGGAGCACATGCAGTTACCAAGGTTGGACCTGAATTTGTTGGCTGCAAGAAGGATGATCATGTATGTAATGAGCTTGTCGCTTTCCCTAAACTTGAATTGTTGATCTTCTCAGATATGCCCAACTGGGTGGAGTGGTCTATTTTTGAGGAAGAAGTTGCTGCTGATGAACAGGGAGAGGATGGAGTTGATGAGATTCGAAGAGAGGATGCCCCATCTTCAAGGTTGCGACTGGTGCCTCGTTTGTTGGAGTTGTACCTCCATGACTGCCCGAAGCTGAGGGATATCCCGCAACAGATTGGAAAAGATACCACCTGTTTGAAGGTGCTCGGTTTAAGAGAACTAAACAACTTGAAGGCTGTGGAGGACCGCCCAGTGCTCTCTGAGCTCCTTGTTATTGAGAACTGTGAAGGCCTGGAAAGGATCTGCAACGTCCCTCAAGTGACAGAGCTGCGTGTAGGTGGTTGTCCAAACTTAAGCCATGTAGATGGATTGGGCAGTTTGCAGCGGTTGGGGCTGGGCAAGGATATGCAAGAGATCCCTTCCTGCTGGATGCCTGGGCTTCAGGAGCAGCACCAGCGACTTCATGGTGAAGACCTGGATGTCTACACATGGCTTTAGATGGCACAAGGTATATATGAACACTGCCAAGGATAAGGGTCAAAGCTCTGTTCTCTGCGATGGAGCTGAAGAAGAAGAAGCAAACTGCAGAAACTACTTACTAGCTACACCATCTGCCATAAAAATACTCTTTATCTCATTTCGTTTGGTGCAACAAGCAAGCTGGTGAATGAAGTATCGTGTTTTTCTTTGGGCAGGTGCCCAGGAAATACTCTTATCTCATTTCGTTTTATTTATTTCTGAATTCGGGCCGGAGCCTTTTGCTGTATTAGAACTCATGTGTGGTATCCTTTCAGTTTTGTTTTATTTATTTCCGAACTTGGGGCTGCAGGCCTTTGCTGTACTGAACCTGTGTGACACGGTTGGTTCTTTGAATGTAACCGATGAATTCCATTTTGGCATGATTATATTCCTTGAATGGAAGTGATGAACTTCGTTTTAGTTTGTTTCTGAACTTGGGCCTGATACTTTGCTACAGTGAACATGTGTAACCTGGTGAAGGAAGAGAAATTTGTTCCTGTAATACTGCGTCGCATTATATGGCGAAACTACATTATCAGAAGGAATGTTTGACTAGAATTCACGATAAATAATAATAGATATATCATGCTTGTTGCAGGAAGTGGTGGATGAGGGAAATTATGCCGCCACAGTTTGGAGAGGACTCTGCCAGCTTGAAGGAGATCCTTTTAATTGGAACAAATAACTTTAAGGCCGTGGAGGACTTCCCACTGCTCACTGAGCTCATTATTAAGAAATGTGAAGGCCTAGAGAGGGTCTCCAACCTCCCTCAACTGACAAAACTACGTGTAGTTGGTTGTCCAAACTTAAGCCATGTAGAGGGGTTGGGCAATTTGCAGCAGCTAGGGCTGGGTGTGGATATGCAGGAGATCTCTTCCGGTTGGGTGCCTGTGCTTCAAGAGTGGCACCAGCGAATTCATGGTGAAGACCTCGATGTGTACACACTGTCTACTAGTTAGATGGCCATCAAAGCATATGGTATGCACACTGCATATATACTGGTTGGACATTTTGTTTTGTGTCTTTGATTGTGTAAACCATAATTTATATTATTGCAACACAATTTTCTGCCCCATCATACTGGATAGCTGCATAAATCGTACATATTGGGCCATTATGCTTATGCAACAGAATTTCTTAGATCTACTGTGATTATACATGTCCAAATGGGCTTTAGTAGATATCCATGGCAGCAGATTGCAGGCAATTTAGTAAGTATTGCATAATACTGCTCTAAGTTGCTTATGTGTGTTCCATCTCTAAACCCATACTATTACTTGGATTCTCATAATCGTCCTCTTGAGTTTGCAATTTGCTATCTCAATCTATTTTCTTTCCACATGTATGAACTGCCTACACACTCATGCATGCTGGATTGCCACACGTTTGTCATCATTTTGTCCTAGCTTTGATTAACTCAGGAATACATTTCTTGTAATGCATGCCTTGGTTTTATGTGCTTATTGCAACGACTGCTTCGGACTACTGTTTGTTCCCTAATTCAAACTCTATGCCGAACAAAATTGTAGTAGCAGCCTGGACGGGGAAACGTGCATGAGACATACTAAGCCTGTCAATGGTGAAGATGTGCAAGCACCCTGATCTACTGCAAGCTGGTGAAGGAAGCGTCGTGTTTCTTTTTCTCTTATGGCAAAAGCCCTGCAATGAATCAAATTTCTGTCTTGGAACTTTTTTTTTTGCCTGAACTTTTGATGGAGACCTTTGTTGTACTGAAAATGGGGCCAATAGCTCCTGTGCGACGTTTTTCATGCGAATTGGAAGGAGTGCGATGTAGTTCGAATGAATGGCTGTGATGCGACGTCTTTGAAGCCAACAATAGCTCCAATGCGACATGGCTCTGTTTACCTGTGAAATGAAAAACACGAGGGGTTAGCGATTTGAGTTATGACACGCGGGACCCACCAGTTACTCGCATGCGGGTGGGACCCACAACTTATCCACACAAGCATGCCCGTGCTCATCAGCGTGCCCCGACCCGAGCCAGCCACGAGCCCGAGCCAGCCCGCCCCCCTCCATTGCTTGCCCTGCCCCTTTCCTTTCCCACCTTCTTCTTCCTCTGCTCCGGCAACGAAGCGCGCCGCCGGCGAGTGATGTCTAGCTCGACTTCGGCCACCCGCCAATCATGGACGCAGTACGGTCCACTGCCGTTGACAAGATGCCCTGATTGCCCGCGCATGGAGCCTCTGAAGCGTTTGACTTGTGTGAGGGAAGAAAATGGCAACCGTGGGCGCGAGTTTGTGAAATGTTTGAGCAAGCCACAGCCGGGGTAGGTTAGATCTGTGTTCTTGACCAATCCTATGGTCTAATTTCTCCCGATTTCTTTCTTTTTTTCATTAGGGCGGTGGATCTGGGTGGTGGATCTAGGATTCATGCGCCGCCGGCCCCCTGTTTTTCAGGTTCTGAAGAAATGTGGGCATTTTGAGTGGCTCGATGACTATGTTGAAAGGTTGAAATTGGAGGGATCAACCCCAACCCAAGAGCTCAATTTTGGGGGGCGGCTTGCCGTGGAACAAGCCCCCAATATGGCGGATAGAGCCGATCCGATGATGCACGGTGCAGAACTGAAGTGTGAATTGAAGAAAATCGGCAAGCAACTAAAGCATCTGATTGATTTGAAGCAACAAGCAAATATGATGGCTGGAGCATTTTATGGTTGTGTCATTGCTATGGGTTTATTTTACTTGATGTTCATTAATCGCTAGAATTTGTTAGAGTTTCAGTTAGTTAGTCAGCTAGTTTCAGGGGTGCCCAGTAGCCAGGGATCATTTGTTAGATGAATTTGAATTTGTGTGAAGCAAAACTTGCTTGAATTATTGTAATGATATTCTCAGGGGCCCTATTCATGCTCTGTTTCCTCTGTTTTTGTTCTTCAGTTAACAGAGTACACACCCAAATTCAGTTTCTAGTAAAAAAATGGGCTGCCGAATAGATGTTGGGCCGTGAGAAAATGGGCCTTGAGAAAATAACCATGCCCAAATGGAGACCAGCCCACCCGCGTAAGGGCACCAGCCCACCTCTAACTTCGGCAAATAAAATGTTACTTGTTTTTACTTTGGCCTTTTTCTTGCGGGCCCTTTTCTTGCACTAAATTTTGTGATGGATATTTTTTTGATGCACTAAAACTAATGCATGTGTACGGTTCCATGAACTAAATGAGTTGCATGCTTGCATGAAGTGCCCTACGTAAATTAGTTTGCATTTCCTAGTTGCACCCATGTCCATAGTGGGTTTGCATGGGGCTCCTAGTTGCATGTCCATGGTTATTGGTTTGGCCAATATTTTGAAGATGGTGTGTGTGGTGAGGGCACCCGTGTGGTGATTGGGGTGTAGAAACCCGGGCCCGTGGCAACCCATAGCAATACACGAATAATAAGAAAAAACAACCCATAGCAATCCACAAATAATAGCACGAAACACACAATATATATAGTAGCATAACGATTATATAGAAGCATAAAGATAGCAACCCGTAGTTCCACGATAGCCTTACAACTCCATGATAGCCTTACAACTTATAAAGTACTAATAAAACTTAATAATAGTAGCATAAGGTTACAACTTAAAAAAACTAATACGATAGATCTCGCTAGATAGATAGGGGGGCACCAAACGCGGGTTCTTCGGGTTCTTCTTCTCCTCCTCCTCCGGGGCCACCTCGCTCCTCCGGGCGTCGCCCTTCACTCCTCCCACCCGTTGTTGATGGGGTACGGGAGCGTGTGCATAACGCCGTTGTTGGGGAAGATGCCGTTGAAGTCGGTGTAGATATTGTAGGTTGTGAAAGCTATGAACTCACAACCAACCCAATACGCTCGCCCGAGGAGATGGAAAGCATCGAAAGGGTTGGTGAACGTGGTGAGGAGCGCAACCACAATGCCGTTGTGGTTGACCTCCTCAAGATGGTACATCCGAGGAGAGCCACGGGGGAGGTGGCGGAAGCCGGCACCAAGGAAGAACTCCGTTAACTCCCTTGCGCCCCTCCACCTCGAGATCGCCCAAACCCTAAGGGTTCTCTCTACATACACTCCGTCCGGGTAGAGCCTTTCCGGCACGGTTGGGGGGAAGCTGTAGGTGGGGCCGGTGTACTGCATGGTGGCGGGGTGGCTTGAGGGCTCGGTCGGGTTTGCTGGAGAAGAAGGAAGAAGGAGGGCAGAGGAGGCGGATGGGGTGTGGATGAGGAGGGAGAGGAAGACGATAGTGCCCGGCTTAAATAGCCCAAGTGCGACGTGGTTTCACCCCGTAGAATTAACGGGCGGGCGGCGTTTGGTGGGAGCGTGGCGCCCCATGACAGTGTGTACACGGCCCGTACACGATGGGGTGGCGGCGTGGGTCAAGGGGACGGGCTCACGCACGCGTCTGTGCCGTCGTGGGTCAAGGGGACACGCCTGCCCCGGGTTCTTTGCGTGTGCCGCCCGTGCATTCATGCTGGGCCCTAGCCCATTAATTTGCACGACAATAATGGACGCCTTCATTTGCCCATCTTGTAACGGGCAGCACGCCATTTGAACTGCATCGATACCCACATCTCGATACCCCATGCCAGTATTGCGTCCTCAAAGAGGAGCACGCCATGTACAGCACGCCATGCAGCGTTGGCTTTTTGGTTGTCTTCATCGGGCTGCTGCATTGTGGCCGAGTGCATGCTTTGATGCGACGATGCATTGGTTCTAATGGTAGGCATGCGACAGCTTACTGCGTTGATAGGGGTGGCGGAGCAGGGCTACGTCGAGGGGCATGCATGCAACGCATGGGCGCAGCTCTGCGGGTGGGCATGCATGCCGCGGGTGGGCGGGCAGGCTCAGGCACGCATGCAATGATGGAAAGGGCACTGCGTAGGCTTGGTCCATGCACCGTGTCAACTCTTGCCGTTGGATTCAAATGAACGGTCCTGATGCCCCAACGAGAGAGGCTGATCCAAACCCCACCGATTCAACCAATCAGCGCGTCTCATGCAGATCGAT